TTTTTCTTTTCTTTCCTTAGAAGTGGTTAGGTTTCATTGCAAGGATGAAGATGTCTGGTTTTACCTATGATAGGAAGTTATTGTGTAGCAATAAGAGGTTTGTTTGTGCACTGTAGTTTATGGTTTGGCTTGCATTTGTAACTGTGTGGTGTGTACAGGGACGCTCCTGAGGAACAACGTGATAAAATGGCTGCACTGCATCCCATGATTAACAGGCAGAGAAAAGTCTAATATATGACTTTTTTTTTTTTCCTCCTATGTACACAAGTAACTTGGTAGGCTACTATTGCTGTGGCATGTGAGGGGCCTGCCGGTCCTGAGGCTGGAAACAGAGGCAAGTAGCTAAATTCACTGCTGGGGCTGCTGTCTGCCGTGGGAAGGGCGATCTGATCCACCAGACCTCGTGGCTCCTAAACTACACTGGGGCGTACTGTGGGGGTTTCGGCGTGGTTTTGCTCTGGGTAGTTCCCAGCATTTCAGCCATCCTTATCCATAGTGCGGGTAACGTGTTCAGAAAACACAGTTTTTCTTTGACCCCCAAGATGCTCATTATGAGTATTTATTTGTATTACTGTGATGCCTAGGGTGTAGTGTTCACCGCTGAAAGAATAAGAGTTATAAATCAATGTTTGTGCTTGCAGAAACAGGAAAGAAATATGTTGGGAGCTGACAAAAGCTTACAAAAGGCTCACGATAGTCATTGCTGCTGGAAAACCTCTCAGCACAACAGATGGATCCTCAAGTAAGTCAGATAAATCAGATCATGATGTGAATGGAAATGCTGAAATTCCACAAGTTGCACAGATTTTTTTTTTCTTGCTATTCGTATCTTTCCTGTGTGTGATGAAATTGGCTTTTTAGTACAGTACAGGCTATGAGCTCTCCTGTGCAGATCTGATGGCCTTAACAGGAAGGCTGCGTAGAAAAAAGGCCACAGTCAGACGATGTGGGGAGAGCCTGATGTAGGAGGTAAGGGGGCAGAGCTAAGCAGCAAAAGTATGATGCACAAAGGAGGTAAAGAAATGTACTTGTCTGCATACAGTTCTCAAATCCAACAAGTCTGCCCTCAGATCCCACTCGTATGCTGGGAGAAATCCACTTGGAAAGACAGAAGTAGGATGTATATGAAGGGTGGGTAGGGGGGGAAGGATTGTATGTATTCACAAAAACTCCTTCCACTAAAGAATTTCTAAGTATTTTGTAACACCTGAAACAATTCCAGGTAAAGCCACTGAGATTTGATCCTTGTCTACATATAGCTATTGCTTAAATAAGAAGAAACTTAAAAAAAACCCAAACAACCAAGCCCTCAAAAATATAATGCATAAAAGTGTGTAAGAAATTGTGCTATGCACGCATTTCTTACCTGTTTTTTCATACAACAATTTTGCTAGAGCCCACACCAGAATCTATTCAAATGAAACAGGGCTGGATAAAGAGAGAACGCGAATAACTTCATTTTTGTCCCTGGTAGTCAGAGAAGCAGGTGCAGGCAGAGGGAAATGTCTGGATTCCAGTGGGAACCGAGGGGGTCGGCCCATCTCGGGACGGACCTCCAGGAGGGGGTCGGCCCATCTCGGGACGGACCTCCAGGTGAGATGGTGGCCTCACTGGAAGCAGCAGCAAAGCTCTCAGCTGTTTCTCTGGAGGCAAGCTTTGGTCCGTGCTACCTCTCGCAGCCTCAACAAATGCTAACACTCAAAGCTCTGTGTGGTGCTGAAGAACGGTCTCAATTTTCTTCTATGGGTTCGTTGTTGTGTATTTTTGCATAGAACTATTTTATTTCATTCACAGACACACATGAGCTTTAAAAAGTTGAGTAACAGCGCTGTGGTGAACTAAGGATGTTTCACTGACTTTAAAGATTTTGGTAAGGCTGTCAGCTGGAGGAGGGCTGTCCAACCAGGCTGTCTTTTTCAAAAATGTTTAAACCAAGAGTTTGCTCTCTGACTCCCTGTGGAAAACGGTTCTGCACCTCAATGCCCTGCATAAACTTTCTGCCAGTTAGCCCTCTATTCAGGGCAGATTTGCACCTGGTTTATGGTGCTGATGTTTGTGTTATCCTCATGATGTCTTCACAACCATGTCCCTGGCAGGTATTTGTTTTTCAGCCCCTTCTGATGCCTAGCATAGTTAATTTCTTTAGGGTATGTGTTTTTTAAAGAAGTTCCTTGGTTATTCTGGTGGCAATGACATGCAAACCAGAGCTAGAGTTCTTGAGGAGACTTTGTTTGCTTCTGTCGTACATTCTGCAGGTTACGTGAATCTAGCCACCATGCGGGTCCCGCTGACAAACTGCTGCAGACGGAGGCAAAGCGGTGCTGGTGGTGCTCTTAACTGGTTGGGGAATTACCATCCCTGAACACGCTCATTCAGTAGGCTCCTTTGAATAGTTTTCTCCCTTGCATTGTGTTTTTACTCCTCCATCCTGCTACTAGGCAAGGTAGCTTGAAACCAGCTTGTTTTCACAATAGTTCTGACTGCTTCTGCCCTCCCTGTAGCATGGCTGTGAGCCTGATGTTACCTGCCATCCACTCAGCCGTGAAACCTTGCTCAGCTGGCACAAAGCCTCCCAAAGTACCTCTTCCCTCCCCCGTGGGTCTCCGGGGAACGGGATTTTTGCAAGCTCTCCCTAGCAGGTTAGACACAAAGCAATCCTGGCTCCTGGCCTAGAAGAGGCTGCCAGACGTTTTCTTCATGTCAGCATTGCTTATCGCTCCAAGGGAAGAACCGAGCATGTGCCACCCTCCTTTCTTCAAGCTGCGATTAGCAGGGAGACAAGGCGGCTCTGGCCAGGCTGGCATCGCAAGTCTCCTTGACCCAGGAGAACAGAGGCAGCCTGGCACATCTCCTCAAACCAGCTGCTGCACGAACTCTGCCCAACCTTCCCCCTGAATATTTCTCAGTCGCAAGCTTCAGAAGGGGAATTCAGGAGCCCGGCCACTTGCCGCTGGCAGCTCAGGGCATGCCATGACACACTCCTTTTGCTCTCTTTGAAGGAGGTTTGCTTCAGTGTGATGTATGAGATGCTCCATCATCAAGTCACCTGGAGACAAGATAGCACAAAATTCCTCACTTGAAACCAGACTCTCTCAGTGAACCTATTTCATTGCTTCCATACTTAAGAGATATTTTTGACCTCTTGAACAAACAGCTTAAGGCTTACCTGCAGACAGGAAGCAATTTTTCTGATGCCTTGTCAATTGAGGCAAAAGGTAAAGAAATATGATGAAGTTACAAATACTGTGGACTAGATTTTTAGTCTTTCCGTGTTATTTACTCTGTAAGTAGTTCCAATGAAATAATCTAGACAACTCTATAGTCCAGACCTGCCAAAGTATCCCCAACATCTTATTTCCAAAACATTAGTTTGAGTATGTGTCAACATAAAAAGGATTTTTTTCCATCTAAGAAAATAGATGCTAAAAAATGCTAAGAAATCAGTTTAAGAAATAGCTGAGAAATTTTAAATACAGATTATGTACATATAACTATCCTGTAAAACATTTATACATAATACACACACATATAGACATACTTACTCCTACCATGCTTTTAAATGCTTCTGTAAAGATTTAATGAGTATATAGTTCTCAATACATCTGAGTTATCACTTCCCACTAGATTTGACTGGAAAATGGATTCTCAAATGAATAACTATACTTTTGGGATATCAGCTAATATTCTCTCACTCACACGGCATTTTGCTTTTTTCCTACCTACAAGGGCTTGCAGAATGCTGGGGGTTATAGCACAGGTGAGTAACACACGAGCTGTCTGCACTGGTGTTTTCAGGAGGAATTGTTTCTTCCGGGACACACAGACGACAGCCTGCTTACGATTAGTGCTTACACTAATTGTGACTTCCTTTTCCATGTGTGTTTTTAATAAAAAATATTATAAATAGTGTTGTTAAAATAACTAATTAGATGGAAAAGCTTAGGTGTTTCTCTTCCAGACCTAAAAAGTTGCAATTTCTATACTGATAGAACCTATGAATATGCTAGCAAACCTTTTCTAGTGCATAACTTGTGTTCACATGCTACATTACTATTAACATACTTCTGTTTCAAAATAGTTTTGAATTTCTCCTAGTATGATTCTACATTAGGAAATTAATATTTTAAAAAGGTGCATGGAAACATGTGCAATCACGTGTGTGTATATGAAGGTACGTATTTAGAACTATAAATCACATAAAAATTTGCCTTACCAAACTTGTACTCAAATTGAATTTTCTTGTCTCATGTCACGCTTGAGACCAAGATTCAGTTGCCTATTTTGTATTACAAAGGTAAGGATAAATCTTTAAGGAAAAGTAATTGTCTGGAACACCTTTATCGGTCTCCTCTAAAGTCATGTTCCTGAAGAGTATTACCTAATAATTTTGGTTTGATAAAAGTTAAGTACTTTGAAGAGGTGGAGGGGGAAACATTGGGAACTGAGCTGTCAATAACTGACCTCTGAAAAATATCACTAAGGAAGCATTTTCAGACTGAAATTGAAGTTTAAATTTCCTTATTTTGACTTACGCTCTGTTTATTCAGGCAATACTGCACGCTATGGCCCAACAGCTAACATTTTTTTTAATGCCCTTCCCTGCCAGTTTGAAGTGTGTTGAGAAGCACACATCTCTCATACCCGCTAAAGCCTAGCGGTAGTATCTCTGTCTGTGGATTTGCCAGCGTCCATCAACATAGTAAGTAAACTTAAATGTTTATAGCTTTTGGCTAGCAGAACAAAAGCACTTCTGTAGTTGTTTTTTACAGGCTGAACAGTTTGCAATCCCAGGACTAGAAGATGCTAAGGGGACTGATTCGTCACTACCACCGTATGTGGGGAAGAAAGATTAACTACAAAATCAGGTTCTCTACTAAGATGGATGTGTTAAAATTAAGACACTTGAGAGCCTCATCTGATCACATCCCCTTAACAACAGGTATTAAAAATTATGTACATTAAAGCAATACTAAGGGTGTTTTCTTTAAATCATTTTATGATGCTGTCAATGCAAAGAAGAATCATTAGTAAAGGGACAACTGAAAAAATTCAAAACAAATATTTGAAATGCAAAATCCAATTCAGTCAAAAAGTATACATTAACAGAAGTAAACAAAACTGAAAGTTATGAATATATAAAAATTCCCTTTTTTTCTCCCCTTTTAAATAAGCTGAAAACAACTTAGGTGATAGATAAAAAGTTTCTCTGCTCAAAACCAGTCAAGTACTCAAGTGAAGCTTCAAGTACTTCTCGTAACAACGATGCAGTTTTTGATGGTTCAGCTAACATTAATTTTCTGTTAGAGGCACGTGTACAAGGGTAGGGCAGCATGAGTATTTTGCATTTTTAAAATACAACTCTTAAGCTGTTTCTCAGGCAAGATAAACAATGATTTCTTATAAAATGTCACAAGTTAAGGAGTGTTTTGGAAACCTAGAACTGCTATATATACTTTATGTATTGATAGTGGTCACTGCACCAACACTAACAGGGCATTGTAAAAACATTATATTCCATAATGTTGCTACTTTTTAAAAATTTAGCCGGAGTGAAGAAATGGGACTTAAGTTACTGTGCACTTTATGCAAGATAACACGCAATTTTGGAACTGGAATATAGCACTTCATCTTCCTCTTTTACTGACTCCCTCTGTCAACACTGCAATTACGCAGTAGCAGGGTGCTGTACATGAAGATCACAGCACCACAAAGCCTAGTGTCTTGTAGACAGATGAAACAACTAGTAGAACGTACCTGAACATCTCTCCCCTGAAGTTTCAGACTGCAGTAGAGCAGTTTACCTAGCTTCTGCAATGTTAATCGGCACTTAATGTATGCCCCAAAAAGTACACTCAAAGCACTCATTTTATTTATCTCAAGTTGAAACTGTTTACAGAAGGAGCATTCTTTCACGTAATATTTTCAGACTGTGAAGGCTTAGTATTTATATAGCCTCTATGGGTTTGATAATTTCAAACAATCATTAATATGTTAGGAGAGCATTAAATGTTCATTACAAGACTTTTTTCCTTTAGACTTATCTCACTTGAAATAAAAGCCTAAGTACAGAAAGACAGCTTACAGATTTCACTGTTCCCCATCACCTCACAGAATTCCACTCCCATACTCCCCATAAGACACTGTACTGTCATCTGCAACTCGAGAACCACAAAAATATCAGAAATTTGGTATCTGATCTTTCCATTGCAGTACAGCTTCTACTACCTGCAGCTAATTCAGATTCTGCCTGTGTGAGTGATGGCAGCACAACAGCCCTAAAAGCAGCTCGCTGTTGTTTGTGGATTGGTGCCCCTTGCCCCACCTTAATTAGAAAAACTCAGCAATGAGGTACTGCAGTAGTTGGCAAATTCCACAGTGATACATAAAGATTATAGCAGCAACTTGTGTAAGAACAGTGAACTATATTTGACTGGTATTCTTCAATTAGAAAAATCCAGTCGTACATTGTAATTCACAATTTAAATACCGAATGGAATCATTTAATGGCATATCGGGGATGAAGTCCCACAGTTTACGAATCAATGCGTTCACACCAGGATTCCTCGCTCAGCACCGAGCTGCCTCTGCAGTCAGTCCCAGCGGCTGATTCTTTCCTGCTCGGGGATCAGGCTCCAGTTGGGCGAAGGCTTGTCGGTCGCCAGCCAGTCAAAGTCATCCACCAGGTTCCAGTTGTTTCTGTTTCTGTCTAGCCCAGAAGACTCGAAATCTCTCTCGATACCAGGGTAGCTCCAGGCGTAGGGGGCGAAGGAGATCTTAGTGCAGTCCTCGATTACGGCCCGGCTGGTCACCTGCACGTAGAACCGACAGTCGCGGGTGCGATGACTGCGGAGCTGCTGGCAGGCCAGCACCAGGAGGCAATCGCTGCAGCCATCCACCAGCGCGGAGGTGGAAACGGGCCCGCAGAGCACGGTGCAGCCCCGGCAGTCCCGCATCCGCAGCGTG